CGTTGGTTGCACCAGCCCCACCCCAAGATTCCAGTTGCCCATTCCACTAATGGCTACCATACTGGCCAGTGGCAGGGCTGGAGGTTCCATCACCACAGAGTGCTCCACTGAATACCTTGGCATGAAGTCTCATTTGCTGAGATGCCGGCCGGTGGTGGCGCACGCCTTTAATCCCAGCACTTGGGAGGCAGAGCCAGGCGGATCTTTGTGAGTTCGAGGCCAGCCTGGTCTACAGAGAGAGATAAAGGAAAGGTGTAAAGCTACACAGAGAAACCCTGTCTCGAAAAAACAAAAAACAAACAAACAAAAAAAGAATTCAAATCTGAGCACAGAGATGAGAGAGGTCGCCTCATTCTGCCTCCTGGAATGTAGATCGGTGTGAGGGTTCATCTTCCTGGTCAGCTTCCCTGGGTTGAGGGATGACTGAGAGATGAGCAAAGTACAGGCCCGCATGTGTCTGTGAGGGCATTTCCTGAGACAACCAGACTACAAGGCTCTGCTCTGCCCAACCATTTCATCTGGTGGATCAAATGTATACAGGGTCATGGTTAATCCTCACTATCAACATGACCAGATTTAGAATCATGTGGGCAGTATACCTCTAGACAGATATGGGGCTATTTCCAGAGAGCTTCAACTGAGGGAGAGAGGGAGAACTCACCCTGAACTGGGTGGTACTGTCCATGGGCTGAGGTTTCAAACTGGATAAAAAACAAAAAGGAAGCTGGATGACAGCTGAGTACCAAATCTCTCTCTCTCTCTCTCTCTCTCTCTCTCTCTCTCTCTCTCTCTCTCTCTCTCTCTCTGTCTCTCTCTGTCTCTCTCTCTGTCTGTCTGTGTGTGTGTGTGTCTGTCTCTTTCTTTCTCTATGTCTCTCTGTCTTTACCTCTCTATCCGTCTCTCTCTCTCCCCCTCCCTCCGTCCCTCCTTCTCTTCCTCTCTCCCTCCACCCTATCCCCAATCATGGAAGCAATGTGACCAGCTGCCTCACGTTCCTGCCACCTCCCCTTGCACTGTGAAACAAAGTAAACTCTTGTTTAAATTGCTTTTGTCAGGTAATTTGTCTCAGCCACAAGACAATTGCGTCTGTGAATAGATTACTGGGAAGGGGTGAGAATGTGGAAAGTGGGGTGTGGACAGAGGAAATAGGTCCCTGAGGGCCTGTCCTTGCATCAATAACCTGTCCTGGTTCCTTGACTATGTCTTGCTTTGCTTCCTAGTTGCCAGGAATTGAATGGCTCAGTTCCAGATGCTTCTATCACCATGAGATGTCCTGCTTTATCCCGGGTCCAGAAATAATGGAAGCAAGAAGGTATGGAGTCGACATCTGAAACCAGGAGCCAAGATACATAAACCCTTACTATAAGCAGTCCTTTGGGTGTTTTAGTCACAGCAGCAAATATCTGACTAAGACAAACTACATTCCAACCTCAGCTGTGCCACATGCATTTGGCTCTTTCAAGTCCTTGACAGTTGGCTACCTCATCTGCAAGAATGGGCGGAACCATTCACTCAGTTTGCCCACTGTGTTTAATATGCACCGACTTCGGGCTGAAATACACATTGCAAACAACAGGCAGGCTGTGACAGATTGGTAGCAGCACCTCTCAGTGCTGATGGAACACTCTGGCTCATCACAATGCTTCCAGCAAGAAGCGCCCAGATAACATGCACAGAGAGCCTTCCATTGGGCCTGGCACGCAGAACACGCTTCATATGTTAACTGGTTGTCAGAAGCCAGTGGGGATAACAGACTCCTTCCTTAGTACTGCTTTCCAGTTTTCCTTTTCCATTTCGCTAGTCTTTTCTGTATCATTGCAAGCTAAAAATGACTTAGAGAACAGCCACTGTAAAGACAAAGGAGCTGTGTGTCTAGACAGGGTCTAGAAAGCACGCCAGTAGATGCGGTCCGAACTCCAGGCTAACTCCTGCCTTCCTACCCATTCCAAGGAACAAATAGAATACAGCATCCTTAGGGCTTCCCATCAGGCTCACAAGAAACTTGAGTGTCTGTTGAGAAGGAAGATACTTGAGGAAAAAGCTCCAGTCTTTATCATGGCCCTCTAGTATCTTAGCCATGCAAGCATCTCTATTAAGAATATTAGCAAGGACATGGGTGGAGGTTACAATACCCAGGAAAGACAGGAGAGTCACTGAAGTCTGAGTGCCCATCACCCAAGCCTCCCTCAGGAGTCAACACAGCCCAGAGGATCTTCCTTCTGATGCTGGGGCATGTCTGGCTCAGCTCTTCTCCGATGTGCATGTGCCCAGGTGAGGACACCTCAGCCTCTTGGCCCTCTGATTTCAAAGCAGGACTCCAGAATGCTTCGACTTGATCAGAAGTTCTGATGTCATGTCAGATATGATATCACATTCTAAGTTCTCATGTCAACCCGGCCGTCAGCCAAGCTGTATGCTGTTGATGGAGACAACCGGCCTATCAGGTTCATTTATCAGTAAAATGACCATGGCTCCTCTCTTTTGTGTGTACTGTTTAATGAGAATGAAAATGCGTATGCAAGCCAGATGTAGTAGCACATGCCTTTAGTCCCAGCATGGAGGAGGCAGAGGTGGGTGGGTCTCCATGAGTTCAAGGGTAGTCTGGTTTACATAGCGAGTTCTGGGCCAGTCAGAGCTACATATCAAGACCCTTTTTTACTTGTTGTTTTGTTTGGGTTTTGGGTTTGTTTATTTGTTTTTTTAAGTGAAGGTTAACAGAGAGTGTTTGCATACATTAAGGCAAATGTGAAGGTACTGACAATATTCTGGAGAACAGCAGGTGTCTGGGCTGAGGGCCCATGCAGAGAATCTGTGGTTTCAGGACCACGGACAGAAAAATCAAGGCGCTGATAGTTCCTCCATTGCTAACATCTTTCCTCACTCTTCTAATAGTGATGGGAAGCCAGTTATTGTTCTTAATGTCACATGAAGGGCAGAGAATCGTGCCAGAGAAACCACTTCAGGATAAAGCCCACAGTGTCGCTAACAGTGTGGCTAGAACGGAGGAACCTGAGCCATGGAATATAAGAGTGATGATAGGCAAGAACTCTACCACTGAGCCACCGATGTTTGCCCAACTACCTCGGCTCCTCCAGCCTCACAAACCAGTAAATTCCCTTGCTGTTCAAGCCAAGATGAACAGGATTTCTGTTGTCTGCATTAATGGGTGCATGCCCTTGGGTAGTGTGGATGCACCATGCCCAATTCATCTTGGGAAGCCCAGAGACGGCCACGTCTCTTCACCCCAGGGTCAGATTCTTTGTTTCCGTCAATTATTCCTCATATGAAATGGTGGGAGTATTTGGACATTTGAAGACTCTTCTGACTGTGGTCACACTTTTTTTAAGTAACTTGGTATCAACAAACTGTCACAGGTTCGGATTTCCACCAGGTGGGCATTTGGGGAGGCCAGTTGAACAACAGGAAGCTGACACTGGAGTCCTCTGGCCCCTGTTCCCTTCCTTTTGCCTCTGTTCCAGGGACACTGGGACTGAGGGTGGTCACATAGGGATGTCTCTTCCCTCAGAAGCAGCCTGGCTGCCTCTCTTCCCAGCTTCTGGATAAATAACTCATGTTCTCGTCACTGCGCGTCACAGATAGAGGGTTTTCAGTGGGGTTCAATGTAATTGCTACCATCTATCACTTTAATAGCTGAATGAAGGTGAGATGTAATTAGAAAGGGTGTCAGTGGAATATGGAGTTTGTTTTACAATTATCTATACAGCCTGGGGGACCATCAGCACAGAACATTGCCTTTTAAAAGCCTAAGAAACATGTGGCACAAATTGCATCATGGAATGATTTAAAGGGCCCCCGATCAGATTCCATCACGTTCTTTCAGTTCCTTTGAATATGGGTGTAGGCTTTTGTGCCTCGGGCACTCAATGGGCTCTGGACAAAGTTTTATAAATCCTTTGTTTTTTAGAAATCAAATCCTAAACTTGACCTGATGGGCTTCTTGGGAGGTGGAATCAAGAAGATCACAAGTTCAAGACTTGTCTAAGCTACAAAGTGAGTTCAAGGCTAGTCTGAGTGTAGCTAGAGTTTTCCTGCCTTGCCTACAGTCAGGACAAATCTTTGTCACCCACCAGTCCCACAGCCGCTCAGACCCAACCAAGTAAACACAGAGACTTATATTGCTTACAAACTGTATGGCCGTGGCAGGCTTCTTGCTAACTGTTCTTATATCTTAAATTAACCCATTTCCATAAATCTATACCTTGCCACGTGGCTCGTGGCTTACCGGCATCTTCACATGCTGCTTGTCATGGCAGTGGCTGGCAGTGACTCCTTCTGCTTTCCTGTTCTTTCTTTTCTCCTCTCTGTTAGTCCCACCTATACTTCCTGCCTAGCCACTGGCCAATCAGTGTTTTATTTATTAACCAATCAGAGCAATTTGACATACAGACCATCCCACAGCATCTGAGTACTTTGTAAGGCCTGGTATCAACACAAAAAGTAAAAAGGGAATTGTGGACACAGCTCAGTGGTAGAGTCTTGCTTAGTGTGGGTGACGACTTAGGTTCAGTCTCCAGCACTGGAAGTTGAAATGGAATCCATATCTTGTTGGCATACTTTAGCACCAGAGACTGTTTCTTATGTGACCACTCTTGAGCATCCCAGATGCCACTGTCTTGACAAGCAGTTAATGACTTCCGAAGAGACAGTAATCTTCAGGGTCGACAGTGAGGGCAGCCTTTAGTCTGCATGCTATCCTTCTTCTCCAGTAAAGAATCGCCCTTCCATTATTTTTTATTGCAACAAAATAAACACAATGTGAGACTTACCATTTTAAATATACAACTCAATGGTATTAAGTACATTCACAAAGTCATGTAACAGATACCACTGTCCACTTCCAGAACATTTCTTCATTTGCAACAGCAATGTATATTAAATAATAGTCACCCCCCTCCCCCGAGTGTCTTCTAAATCCACTCTACTTTCTGTTCCCTTATGTGACTACATAGGAGTGTTCACACAACTCTACCCAAATGGGGTTTCATAGCACTTACCACCTGGTTTCTTATTTATTTCATATAGCATGTCATCAGCATTTAACCATGAAACAAATTAAGTCAGAATTACCTTCCATTTCCAATGCTGAATAATATTCCACTATATCGTACATTCATTCATTAACTGAAATTTGTAGAATCTGTAGAAAGAAGTAGAATAGAAACTACTTCTATCTTTGGGCTACAGTTGCTATGATTATTAAATGAATACACAAATATCCGTGTAGTTGCCCACTTTTAACTCTTTGGTTATATATCCAGAGGTGGAATTATTAGATCATGTGGTAACTCCATGTTTAACCTTTACAGAATCCTAAACTATTTACTATAGAGGTTGTGCTAATAATAATTTCTATACTTCCTTCATCAACTTCGCTCTCGCTCTCACTCTCTGTGTGCGTGCGCACGTATGTGATATTGGGGACTGCAGTGAGGATACCCCTAGTATAGTGTCTCCATCTTCTCCAAAACATTTAAATCAACACCGTGGAAAAATGCCGTCCCCTAACAGCTCCATCCCGACCACCGCTCCCACTACCATCCTAGGTTTATCATGCCACAGGAAGAAATCAGCAGCTGACAGAGGGCTGATGGCTGACCCTTATTTAGAAGATACTGTCAGTGGGAAGAACATTGCTCCCAGATAACGATCACTTGCTGCTAAATAAATGCCAGGGCTTGTCTCCTGATGGATGCTATGCAAAAAAAATATCAATTACTCACCATGGCCTTGCTGGTTTACTGTGGTGTTCACCCCATCAAGGGGCCAGGACCCTTTGGAGAACAGAGCCCGGGAAGGTTGAGAGCATCCTCACCCTAATGCCTGGTGCCTGGGCAAAAGTGAGAGAAACAGGAGGCTCTGTATCCAACTTGCTGTGTGACTGGGGTGGGTGTAGCTTTCCTGGTTTGACAGTGCCTCAGTTTCTCCACCCTGTACTACAATGGCTCTTAGCTGCACTCCAGGCTGCTTGTAAAAGCCTGGAAAGTACCCTAGATCAGTGGTCCTCAACCTTCCTAATTCTCCAACCCTTTAATACAGTTCCTCATGTTGTGGTGCCCCACCCCCCGCCCCACCACCAACCATAAAATTATTTTTGTTGCTACTTCATAACTAACTTTGCTACTGTTATAAATTGTAATGTAAATAGCTGGTATGTAGGATAGCTGATGTGGGACCCCTGTGAAAGGGTCGCTTGATCTCCAAAGGGGTTGAGAGGCCCACAGGTTGAGAATCTCCGCTCTAGACCAACACTGGGATTTCCAATGGTGCTTTCAACACTGCTGTACTACTCATTCCATCCTTTAGGCTGGCAACACAGGAAAGGAAAGGTGGAAAGACAGCATATATCGTCTATCACGGGCATGGCACAGGACTTGGGGGATAGAGCTCCCCAGTGTGAGGTCCCTGGCAATAAGGAAGCCCACACTTGAACTCCGAGCCCCATTTTCTTTTGTTTGCAGAGGACTGCTGCATGTGGAGGCAGATGGTCCTAGATTCAAATGCCAGTTCAACCATGGATGAGTGTGATGAGACACACAATCCCGGTGAGGGTCAATTTCGTGATTTAAAAAGGGGCCACAACTCTGTGCCTGAACTGTTGCACATCCTCCTAACTTTGGCCCTACTCCTCTGGCACATCTTCAGAGTGACTCTTGAGGATATAGGTCAAACCATGCTGCTCCTTCATCCCATTCCCAGCAGCTTCTTCAGGAAAGGAGAAGCCAAAGCCTGTAATGGCCGAGAAGACCCACAGGACCAAGGCTCTGTTCCTTCACCAAACTCATCCTCATCTACTTCCCTCAGCCTCCCTGCCTTGCTCTGAGGTCAGGGTCCTAGTATGCACCATTGAACTTCTGGGAAGACTGCCCACAAAACTGGTCCTTCATTCATATCCTCCAAGTGTTTATTCAAACGTTTGCATCTTTATCAAGCCGACCTTCGCAGTCCTGTTAAAAACTGCTAGGTTGGGGCTGGGGAGATAACTCAGTGGGGTAGTGTTTGCCACACAAGCACGTGGACCTGGATTCCAGCTCCAGGTTCTGTATAAAAGCTGTGTGCAGTAGTGTGCACTTTTATCCCAGCACAGGGGGAACGGGCAAGCAGAATACTATGGCTCACTAGCTTGGCTATTGTGGCCTAACAGGCAACCCTCTGGTCCTAGTGAAAGATCCTGTCTCAATTAAAACATTAAAGCAACAAGCTTTAATCCCAGCACTCAAGAGGCAGAGGCAGGTGGATCTCTGTGAGTTTGAGGCCAACCTGGTCTACAGAGAGAGTTCCAGGCCTTCCAGAGCTACCTAGTGAGATGTTGTCTCGACAAACAAATAAACAAAAAAAATCAACAACTAAACAACAACAATAACAAACCACACACACAAACCCTGCACATAACCCCCATCACCCTTTCACAGAGGTCACCTAAGACCATTGGAAAACACGGATATCTACAGTGTGATTCATACAACAGTAGCAAAGTTGTGTTATGAAGTACACCGAAAACAGTTTTATGGTCAGGGGTCACCACAACACGAGGGACTGTATTAAACGAAGTTGAGAACCAGTGCCCTATACCCTTCTTTTCTCCCCCTGAGCATCTGTCCATCAAGCTATATACTCATTGTTCACAACTTAGAATGCTGGGTTTCACTGTATTTGCTCTCTTCACAAGAATGTTAGAGCCCACAAAACTGGGGAATTGTGTCAGTCTTACTGAATTCTGTATTCCCAGAACGTAGAATGTTGCTTGGTACATCACTGGTGCACAAACTGGGGGCCTGCCTTCAAAATACGATAATGTGTCTTTCAGAAAAGTTAGAAAGTAAGAGAGCAAAGAAAACCAAAGTCACCTGTAACACTCTTATGCAAAGTTTGGCATGGTCAGATTGTGAAATGTATTTTTTGGACTATCTATGTAATATTATATATGGGTACATTTGCATCCTTATACGTTTACTTAATATTCACCGATTTACCAGCTTTGGTGCTGCTTACCCATTTCTGTAAAGTCCAGTTTCCATCTCTAAGCATTGTCTTATCAAGGTTTTATCAGATCTCTTTGTGTCAGGTTTATAGTGACCTCAATAGCTAACAGGACATACATCTGATTTCAAAAGTTTACATTTCAAGAATTGCTTTATGATATGAAGGAGTGCATTTTTTTCTTCCTATTTATTTAGTCTGCCTGAGACTCACTGAAGCTTTGAAATTGAAATTTGGAGAATATGTAACCATTTTTTTTTTACAACTTTGTTTTCTGCTTCATTCTTTTTTTCTGTTACATTCACACATTTCATGCTATGTGTGCCTGGTTCTATGTTACTCTCCAGACTTCTGAGATCCCATGGGACATTTAACCTTTTCTTCCCCTTTGCTTTACCATGAATAAATTCTATTATTCTGATGTAAGTTTACTAGCACATTTTTATATCATCTCCAATTTCTATTCATCCCAATCAATACGTTTTAAAATGTAAATTGTTACTGTTTTTTCATTCTGTATATTACACTTGATTCTTTCAAAATGGTAATCTATTCTCTGAGAGCCCATATTTTTTCATACATTGTCTGTGTGTTTTCCTTCCACTGTTTTCACAGTTTCTAATAACTGTTTTAAGTACTTTAAAAAAAAACTATTCCAACAACAGGGTCAGTTTGTATTAAGGGTGCTCTCTATTGACATATTGTATATGACAATCCCTATTTTGTGGACCTATACCTTTCAACTGTCTAACAGATAAGTGACAAGCAGTAGAAACTCTGACTTGTTTTCTTGCTTTCAAGTGCATTGGATTAATATTGCATCAGGTAATTAACTTGACTAAATTCAAATCCTAAGCTATATTTCTTTAAATGGATATTAACTCCATTCTTTTACATGTCCAATTAGGATACTTGAAGTCCTCTCCATGTACAAACTTGAATCAATTCAGAATTGGAAATGTGTGTGTGTGTGTGTGTGTGTGTGTGTGTGTGTGAACATAGTTAAAGTATATTATGTGACTATGTGAACCTGCTACACCAAATCCCTTGTGCAGTAAAAACCAAATATAATCGGTGGAGAACTTATGACGGTATTTTGAGTGTTTGTATTTTGTCACTTCCTCTGTGACAGTATCTTTCTCCTCAATTTCCATGGGCTTTTGAAGCTTTGAAACACATTCCTGACCCTGAAGACTTATAAGAATCTGTGGTTTTGTCTCTCATAGTGTATCCTAGAGAGATGCAAGCAGGTGAATACCTGTGAATATCTTATCAGCATAGATAACTTTTCTCCAGTTTCTTCTTGCTTTTACTCTTTTTGGTACCTTCAAACAGTGTGTGTGTGTGTGTGTGTGTGTGTGTGTGTGTGTGTATGTGTACACGTGTTTTCTCAAGTTTATAATTCTATATATAGAAGTTAGTTTAAAGCAAGCTACCCTGACATTATTAGAGGCAAACACCAGTTACAATTTTTCTTTTGTCCATTTGATATCCTCTGTCCCTTTGCTATCTACCTTTATCATTCATGTTTTCCATCTATCTTTATCATTCCTGTTTTCCTGATCATTTATATACTGAACTCATTGAGTTCATTTCTATATCAGTTCTGATCATGACACATCAGAACAGGCTTGTAAAATAACTTGTATTTCCTACTTGAAACAGAACATAGAACTTAGCCTATGAGAATATCTGTAAGGGTACCCCATTCAAACACAGAGTTAAAGGTCTCTGCAAGTTCTATCGACACATAACACTGCTGTGTTAGCCTCTGCATTTGGAACATGTAGTGCCCACACTGCTGGGTCCATATCATATAACCATCTTTGCCCAGGACTGATGGACTAAGGTTTCTTTTCCATTATAGCATTCTAACTACTGTTGTAGTCCAAACAAGAGTTTGTTCACCATAGTACATAGGGAATCAAGATCAAGAAGATTACTGATTGGGAAGTCAGGAGGTCTGAGATTCTAACCTGGATTCTTCTACCTTCTAACCTATAGTAGGACTCAGCTTCTCCTTTTTACCCCCTCTTCTAGTGTTAAGGATAATGTCAAGATTGCCTCACACTCCAGGCAGCTGCAATATTGTTGAGCTACGTCTCCAGTTTCTGCTCAAGCCTTACAATAGCCTCAATAACTGAGCATCAAGCTGTAGGAAGGATGTGGAAATGCCAAACACATTGTGTGGCACACAAGAAAACCTCAACAAAAGTTGAAGCTAAATTTTTTCTTGACCAGACAGCAAAATCAATGGGGGCATCTAACGATAAGGGGAGACTTGAACACGGGGGGAGGGGGGAGCTCAATGCCTTGCAAGATAGTAAATAAGATGAGAGGGAACAGGGGGCTTGGGACTGGATTCCTTAGGCACTAGAGTGTATTTTCCCTCTGGAGCAATAATAACCAGCTACTTCTTAATCAAAATTTACTGCTAAATTTCCAATGGTATATCGCACAAAAATGCTGCAGAAATTGAAAAGAAACGAAGGTGATTTTCTTTTTTTTTTTTTTTTTTTTTTTGGTTTTTCGAGACAGGGTTTCTCTGTGTAGCTTTGCGCCTTTCCTGGAACTCACTTGGTAGCCCAGGCTGGCCTCGAACTCACAGAGATCCGCCTGGCTCTGCTAAAGGCATGCACCACCACCGCCCGGCGGTGATTTTCTTAATAAAAAATTGCTAGCAAGATGTGTAGTAGGATGTGCCTTGGATTCTGTTCACAAGCTGTCTTGGCTATCTTCCCCACAGTGCCAAAAATTCTCACACAGACAAATATACCCACAAAGACCGTAGCTTACAAGAGGATCTCAGCAAACTAATGTTTGGATCTGAATCTTTCTTTGCAAATGTCTTCCAATGAGTTACGCCCACAAGGCCACCAGGCTTCTCAGCACCTAGACTGAGTGGCCCTGACAGGGGAGGCAGGGGCTGGTCCCTACAGCTTGCTGGCTAACCAACCTAGCCAAATGGGCAGGTTCCAGGCCAAGAGAAAGAGCATCTCAAAATCAAGGTGGGCAGGCATCTAAGGAACAATATAAGAAGTTGACTTCTTGCCTCCACATGTTCATGAATACATGTGCACCTCCATACATGAATACTCTCCCCCTACACACACACACACACACAGATAGCAATAATGAAATAAAGTGCTACATAAAGGACAGAGAGTCTAGACATACCTTTGGGGTCCCTCTGAATTGCCCTCAACTAATCAGTCTTTGCCTTCTACCTTATGCCTTTTCAAATGGATTCATTTTTTTTTTCTTGAATACTTTTTGGAAATAAGAATATATTTTGGAAAAAAAAAATCTTTCTCATACAATATACCCTGATTACAGCCCCCCCTCCTCCTGGTTCCTTCCCACCCTCCCTCCCATCCAGATCTACTCCCTTTCTGTCTCTCACTAGAAAAGAACAGATCTCTAAGAGATAACAACCAAGCATGACAAAATAAAATATAGTAAGGTAAAACAAAACTGAAGTTGAACAAGGCAAATCACCGGAAGGAAAAGAGTCCCAAGAGAAGGCACAAGAATCAGAAACCTGCCCACTATGTGAACTCAGGAGTCACATAAAAATACTAAACTCGAAACTATAATATAGATGAAGAGGACCTGGTGCAGACTTGTGTAGACCCTGTGCTTGCTGCTTCAGTCTCCGTGAGTTCATGTGAGCGTGTTCTATTGGTGTCCTCCATCCCCTCTGACTGCCACACTCCTTCCACCTCCTCTTCTACTGAGTTCCCTGAGCTCTGAGGAAAGGGATTTGATGGAGACATCCCATTTACAGCTGTGTGCTCCAAGATGTTTCTCTATATATAATGTCTGGCTGTGAGAGGAAGCTTCTCTGATGATGGCTAAGTAGGGCACTGATCTATGAGTATAGCAGAATATCATTAGGAGTCATTTTATCACTAATTTTTTTTAGACCAGTATTTGATTTTACACTAGGTCTCTGTGCTACCTAATCTCTAGTTCTTGGTCACCCAAGTAGTGTCATGTATGGGTACCATCTCATGGAATGGGCCTTAAGTCAAATCAGACATCAATTGGTTACTCCTACAAGCTTTGTGCCACCATTACCCTGGCCTAATTTTCAGGTAGGACAGCATTGTAGGTCAAAGGGTTTGTGGCTGGATTGGTATTTACATTTCTCTTTTGATAGCCTGCAGAGTACCTTCCCATACCGAAGACACTAGAATATAGGGATGAAGGTTCTATGTAGGCACCAGCTCTACCTCCCCACGATCAACAAGTTGTGTGGGTGTTGTCTTCAACAAAAGGGCCTTGCTGTCAGTTTGTGGAAAGCACCTATTATCTTGGCAACAGTCTGAGTTGTTTGGGGATTTCCATGAGACCACTTTGGCCAACAACCCAATTGGGTGGAACCCAGTCCCAGTACCGGAAGCTTCATTTGGTGACAAGAGATGGCTGGTTGGGACTTTGTCTCTCTCATTATTTGGAGACTGCATTACCATCGCCTTCATATATTTTAGGAAGTTTTCACCGCACTGGGAGGATCAGGTAGAGAGGTGGGAAGAGAGATAGGGTTGAGGGAGGGAATGCAGGAACAGACAGCAGGAATGGGGTGGGGGGCGCTTGAGAGGTGGTATGGATTCATTCTTATTAATAAATGCCTCCGCCACCTGAGGCTGAGTTGGAAAGTGTCTCATTGCTCTTGAACACCCTTGAGAAATGCTTCAAGTACACTTCACACACTAGAGGGGAAGTCATTTCTAGAAGAAGATAGGTTCCATGGATAACAGATCTAAGCTAGGAAATGGCTTTTATTTTGTAGAAAATGAAGGCTCCAGCATTACATAATTTTGAGAACCAAAGGAGATGCATTTGCATGGTCTTCAAACTCTTGCTGCATCACTGGGTAAATACGTTTCCCAGGGCTCTCTGCAGCTTCCGTGGCTACTTTTCTGGTTCTGCTTTCCTCACACGAGTTGCCTCTTTGATTCTCTGCCTCCACCTACATTTCCTCCTCTTGTCCAGTGAATTCTGAGTGTTCCTGCTTGCTCGCTTCCTCATCTCCAGTCTTCCAGGATGACCTCACTCTCCTTGCGTCTTGCTCTGACACTTGTACACCTGTGACTTCTGCCTCTTCCTCTCTCACTGTCACCTCTCTCTGAAGTACCCTGAATAGTCCCAGTTGGGTGCGTGTTCTTTTCTTGACATGATACTTGTCTCAGAACCACTTACTTTTCCTCTTTGCTGCCCTTGATTCTTCAATTCTGGGATCTGCTGCTGCTGACCCAAGCAATCTCACACCATCTCTGAGCTACTTCCCTCTCCCTCCCCCCTCCCCCCCAGATATTCAGTAAGAAGGAAACTGTCTGATTTGTCTTCAGAAAAATTTGTCTTCTGTTGTCCATTGGTCCTACACTGATTAAAACTCTTAATGTTTTTTATTTGGAAAAAAATCACTGAGACCTCTATTTGCAAGTCTGCCTCTTCACAGCCTCATTCAACTCCAAAATGTCCTGGCCCCGAGTCTATATTTGTTGATATTTTACTGGCTAGAGCCTGCTTCTACCATTGCTGCCCTTTCTCTGGACAAACAAGCAGACCCAAGGAGCTCTAGAACCATCAGATGGCTAGAACAACATGCCCTCACCCATCTTCACCTCACACTGCACTTCTCTGACCATGCCTGGGCAGGTGGGGTGAGATTATAGCCTTCATCTACACTGGCCCAGGTATGACAGGAGGTGACAAGAAAGTCCCACCCAGTTGGAATAAAAAAAAAACCTAAGATTTTAGATCCAGATTTATTACTAGAATGCTTTTTTTAGTTAAGGAAAATTTCAAACACAAATGGGAAAAAATGATGTATATTAAACCCCAAATAACCCATGACCCAGCTTCAACAACTGTTTGATTCATGCCCAATTTTGTTTTCTCAATACCCCCACGCAATTCCCCTTTCCTACCTTGGGATATTTAGAAGCAAATTTAGAATGAAGACATCAGGATTTAATTGAGCTGAAGCACCCTGGCCACAGCCTGCTTTGAGTCCCAGCTTTAGCTCCCCTGTGTACCTTCTCAGCACATCCCCACCTGGTGGCTCTTGGATGCAGGGCTCTGTAAGAGACCCTGGGACTCAGCCTCATGACCCTCTTCTCCATTGCCATCTCATCACTAGTGATACCAACTTGTTCTCTGTCCACTTTCCCGACTGAGACTGCCCCCCCACCCCTACCCCCCGCATTCTAGCTTGAAGCTGCCCTCTGCTGGAGGCAGACAGGACAGTTGGCAAAGTACTGCCTACCATGTCCCCAAGGGCAGTTTCACCATCAAACTTTTCTCTGTACATATAAGGGTCATCCTTGAGCTTATGAGGGGCCTTGAGGAGAGGATTACAAAGCTCAGCTCTTGAAGACTTAAAGTGGACTACAATCCAGATATCCAGGAACCTATTTGAGGGACTTGGCAGCATAGTCTCGGGTAGAAAGAAGGGTGACAGTCACAAGTGTCACAGCAAGGAGACATGATGTGCATGGACTGTTGGGAGAGCATGGTGTCAGACCAGAAACCGCAGGGAGTGGTTCACTTATGTAGGGCCTCAATGTAGCCTTTATAGTAATCAGAAACATTTTCAGGGCCCTGGGCTCAAGATACAAATTTGCATATTACTTTACATAAGTCAGCATATGGAGTTCACTCACCCTTAACACCAAGAAAGGGAAATTAAATTCAATTAGATTAATTAGTGCAACTGATTGCAAATTGTTTTCAGACCTAATATTAAGGGTGCTGTATGCAGGAAATACTGAAGAGATGTTTTAATTGGGAGAATGGGGGCGGGGGCAGGAGGGAGGCAGCTTGAGCAGCTGAACCTAATTTGCTATAGAGGAGTGGGGGCGGGGGGGGGGGGCAGGGGGCGGGACTAGGAAGGGTAGGAGGGGCTTACATACATCTCTGGGATGTTTTTGTCATTGTCCAGATCCCTTCCTTCAGCCACCCCCTCCCCCTGCAGCTGACTTAACCTGGAAGGTAACAAAGCCCAGTTTAGTGCTACTCATCTTTTCTAGTGTTCAATATTCAATTCAGTTCTCTTGTTCTGTTTAAGTGAGCCGGAGCTTTTAGTGCTCAGAGCCTCGCTCAGCACACTGCTCTCTCTTATCATGCCTCCTCTTCTTTCCCTCTCCCTTCCCTTCTCTGTTTCCATTTTGTCCTCCGCCTTATTTCTTGGAGGACATGGCCTGGGAGCCAGGGCTCAAGGAAAGAGGGTCTTCTGGGAAGAGGCTAGAGCACTCCCCTTCCCCTGTAGATCATCAGCCCCTGAGCATAGAACTGGCTCTGTCTGGGCAGACCCTGCCTGGGCAGCAACTGGGCACACACTGCAGCCTGGAGCTTAGAGCCAGGGCCAGCAGCCTCCTTTATTGGGTATCTGTCTTGGTATAGAGTGGGTCTTGTGCTGGGGACTCATTATGGGGCCTCCCCTCCCTGATTCAAAAGGTCCAGCTCACAAGGCTAGGTCCTGAACATTTTACAATGTCTCCTGTCCCCACTCGTGGGTTCTGAAATCTTGCTTGGTGTCCTCCTGACCATGGGGTGAATAGCCAGAACTGTGTGGCTGCCAGGCTCTGAACCCCAACCCCTCGATCCTGGCCTTCTTTCTTTCCCCAGTAGTATCCCAGAGAAAGGTTCATCCACTACCTCTGTTTTTCTTTTCAGGCCTCTCCTCTGTGATGCCACAGCACAAGGCTAGGGTACTTGACAGGAAGGCAAGGCCTGGCCAGTCTTCTTACCTCTCTTCCTTCTCATACACTCTGGACAAGACTCCACAACCAGTTCTCTCAGGAGGCGGTACAATGGGTGGCACAGGAATCTCCCCGAGGATTCAGCAGTAGGTTGGAGACTTTAACCTTTCTCAGGTTAGTAGTATCCACAGACCCTCGCAGAAAACCTTGCAGGCGCAGAAAACCACACAGGCACGCACTCAAGCTCGCAGGCAAGCTTGCACGCACGCGCACGCACTTCACGCACGCGCACGCACTCATGCACGCAGTCTGACGTGCGCTAGACCCTGTATGGCGTGAGACAATTCAAAGGTGGACACAGAGTCTAGCAAGGGCAGGTAAGGAGCAGAAAACAAACCAAACCAAATCCAAACCAAACCAAAAACCAGCTAGAAGGAAATATTCAGAAGGAGGAGAACAGGAAAATCTCCCAAGAGAAGCACGGTCGGGCTGAGGCTGTCTGGAGGAAGGGGGACGGAGGGTGGGTCTGGATGGGTAATCCAAAAAGCCATTGAGAAGCCCACCCAACCTGACCATGCCAGAGTAAGACGAAAACAGGCATAGGTGTGAAGGGGAGGAAGATGTCACAGCAAGAGGTTGGCAGGTCCATACTAAAATGACTACAGTGGTAGATGACGTCTACTCAGGGGCATGTGTGAGCAAAAAGCAAAATAAAGGAAACAGGAAGAAGCAGTGGCCTGGGGGCGTGAGGGGAGGGGGAGTAGAGGAAGAGCAGAGATATAAGAGGAGACATCAAAAGCTCCTTGTTTTCATTTTTATTTTTTATAAAATTCCTCTCCTTTTCTGCTTCTTCCAACTGATGTAAAGATGGAAGTTGAAAGATCCTGCCTCATCGAATCGGCGAAGTTTGCGGGCCGGGGTCTCTATGTATGTTTCCCTGTGGGTCCTGGAGCAGTGGAGCACACACCCCTTTCCAGACATCCAGGCGGAGGAGGTGGCTTTCCCGGGGCAGTGGTCTGCTTTGCGTGATGATAAGCAAGCTCCTGACAGTGCTCAATGGGCGTCGACTTCCAATAAACCCCATGCTGGTGGGTGCAGCGTGAGAGGTAATAATCGTTCTTCCTGGCTTGCTCAAGCCGCAGTCAGGATTATAGAGACACATGAATCAGAGATGGCAGCCTGTAACAAAAGCTTTACCTCCAGCTGTTTTGTTCATTTTCTAAACAACAACAGAACATTCCCTCCTCCCCCCACCCCACCCCTCCCTCTCATTTTTTTTTTCCTTTGTGTTTAAGATTCATTATCAGCCAAATGCATTGGTCTGAGCCTCTAGGCTTATACAACAAGCAAAGGGAGGGAGAGAGGAAGGGAGGGAGGAAGGGAGGGAGAGAGGAAGGGGAGGAAGGAAAGGAAGAATGGAGACCAGAAATGCCAAAATCACAGGAAATCTGAGCCCGTGTCCCCTGGCCACTTGCATTTGCCAATCTTGAATGAGCATGTGGAATGGAACCTCAGGTTCCTGTTTGCCTAGCTAGACACCAGACACTATCCACCTTGCAGGCTCGCTGGGATCTTGATCCTCATTTGGGCTGAACTTGCTTTAGGAACCCTGGCTTTCTGTGCTGAGGTCAGCGCCAGGTCACCCTTTCAGCAGATAACAGGGCTACTGCCATGCATCAGATACTTGATCTCCACATCTTTCCACCTGACCATTGAAAATGAGTAGTAGTTCAGTGGCCTCTCGTACACTTGTGTTACACAACTACCACCCCTTCCCTGTGTTAGTCATCTTTCTATTACTATAGCAATTCCTTGAGATAAGTAAACTTAAAAAGAATAAAAGGATATTTTGGATGATAGCTTTGGATGCTTCCAGCCCACCCACCAGTGAGTGACCTCATGACTTTGAGCCAGTGGAGGCATATTCCATCATGATGATGGCAGTCGGGGTGGAGAAAGCCTGATCACTTCACTTTCACTAGATAAATGAGCAAAGGAAGAGGGAAGACAGAGGCACCAATACCACCTTCCAGGGCACAGGACCAATGACCTAACTTCCTCCCATTAAGCCCCACCTCTTAAAGGTGCTACTGCCTCCCAGGTTGGCAACCAAGTGTTTAACGTGTGGGTCTTTGAAAGATATTTACAATGCAACAGTAGCAGGCTTGCTCTATAACATTTTCATTCCCCAAAATGGAAATGTTTTAAGCTATTTATTAAGCAGTTCATTTTCATTTTCCCCCTCTCCCAGGCCTTGGCAACCAGTAATCTTGTTTCCAGTTCTATAGATTTACCAATTCTAAACATTTCATATAAATAGAATTGCATAAAAGGAGACTCATGGGACCAGCCTCTTTCACTTAGCGTATTTTCAAGGTTAATCCACATTACAGTCTGTATTGGCTCTTCATTCCTTTTTATATCTAGCTAATATTTCACTGTCTATAAAACCACATATTTTTTTTATTCATCCATCTGTTTATAGCTGTTTGGAGTGTTTCCACTTAAGGCTGTGAATCGTGTGTGTGTGTGTGTGTGTGTGTGTGTGTGTGTGTGTGTGTGTGTGTGTGTATTTATGCAGCTCTTATCAATTCTTTTGGCTTTATACACAGGAGTTGAAACTGGTGGGTCAAATGATACCTTTCATCTTTGAGAATACCACCCCTCCTGAATTATTTTCAACAGAAGCTAAACCACACTGCACGCCTACCAGCATGATATGAGGGCTCGAGTTTCTCCATACCTTTATTATCACTTCCTGAGTTTGGGGTTTTGTTCATTTTAAAATGTTTTTATTATAGCAGTCCCAGTCAGTAGCATCCCCTGGTTGTCTTTTGGGAATTTTTTTGTTTATTTGTTTGTTGTTTTGGTTTTGTTTGCTTTCGAAATAACAGCTCCAGTAAGTTGCTATGTAGCCAAGGGTGACCTTGAACATTTGAGTCTTCTGCCTCTACCTCTTAAATACTAGGCTTACAGACACTCACCACCAGACCTAGTTTATACAGCACCAGGAATTAAACCCATGTATGTGTGCATGTAGGCAAGCATTCTGCCTACTCAGCTACATCCCAAGCCCTCCTGGTCCTTTTGAGTGGCAGTCTTCTGATAAGAAATGATCATCAAAGCATTGAGTGTGTTTGTTAATGCTCTCTGAAAAGTGTTGATTAATTTTCAATTTTGTTTATTATTTTTTTGTGTATAGATGTTTCTCGTGCATGTGTATCTGTGCACTATGTATATGCCTGCTGCCTATGCGTATCAGACCCCATGGAACTAGAGTAATTGATAGGTGTGAACTGTGGTGCTAGAAACCAAACCTGGGTCCCATGGAAGAGCAGCCAGTGCTTTTAACCACTGAGCCATTTCTATAACCTCTAACATTTTTCTTTCTTTCTTTTCTTTTCTTTTTTTTTTTTTTTTTTTTTTTTTTTGGGTTTTTTGGA